GCATGAAAATGTTTCCTACTGTAATGCAGATATTCCCCACGTACTGCGAATATGTTAATGTGGTTGTTATTGTTACCTATCGTATCCCACAGTTTCCTCACGGTATCCTACGTGTATCCTCCATTTATCCCGTTAATTTTCTTAGGTTTCTATACTTTATACGTGTTAAAACACTTTTAGCAGAACCAAAGCCCATTAAACATTTCAGATTTCTCCACAGTGCCCATGACAGAAACCGCATTACCACGCTGTATCTCTAAAGACAGTCGCTGTCGTAGAAATTCATGTGAGCGGGCTTCTCCAGAATGAGCCCGTAATCTCTTCCCTAATTCCTTAATGATAGCATTGGCCGATGGCCCCACGGCCCATTGTCTCGAAACCGATAGGTACAAAAATATAACGACCGTCAAGAATATAAACTAAACTTCTCTTCTGCTTGCTCGGCGGCCGATCCTGCGTTAACCGATGTGGATTTGATGTGGGAAGCGGCGACAGTATCCACACAGGTGGCATCCCATGCCAGACACATTCCTCTTTGCCATGCAAAAGTTGTGCATCCATCCGGACGACGTTCGCTAGTGTGGGAAGTGCCCTGGGGTTAAAGTTTTGCTGGGATTCCGGCCGAAACAAGAGCGCGACATATAATGCTGTTGAGCCCACCATGCCGAGGATGTCTGCCAGCGGAGAAAGGGCAAGAAAGGCCGTGATGTCCGTAAGCGTCGACGGGCTTTAAACATTTCGTGCAACTGTGCGGTTCACAAATCTTGGCGCCGAGTCTGAAGCCAACTGAAATCTTTATTGTGTCATCGTCGAGAAGATTGCCGATGTGAGCGGAAGGTAACGCGTTGAGCCAAACACCGGCTTCCGGTTTCGACTGAGCAAGGAGGCGCGCCTTGTTGACTTCGTCGTTTCGGTATACATCCAGCAAAGTAGCCAAAGACACATTGCACAAAGGCAGGTCCCAAGCTTTCTGTGAATCGCGGACGTCTGGTGCCGGCAGCTCCGCCAAACATGCATTTGTTTTCCAAGTTTCAAGTGCAGCTGAGACATCCACAGCAGTCATACCAGGAAGCAGTTGTGACACTATGCCGCCGACGGAGTGAATCGAAGCCAAAAAGGCTGGGAGTGCTAATTCCTCCGATCGACGTAAGCCAATGCCACCTCTGCTAACCGGCAAACTTGCTTGTCGCCAACTTGGATAATCATCGTGGTTTGTGCGGACATTACACAAAAGTTGGAACAGGACCGCAGCACTTCATCGATTCTGTATAACTGCTGTGGGTACTTCCAAGCGTTGCTGCACCTCAGCATATAAATAATCTTCGGAGCTCCGAGACACTGTCTTAGAAGAAACAACGCGTGGTGACGAGGCAACAGTTGCATTTTCTCGCATACCGCGGTCAAAGACTGAGCTTTCTCGGCAAACAGGGGGGCGATCGCGTCGTCCAGCACTGGAGCTCCGAGCAGTGTTAGGTCAGCACTGGACACGACGCGGATTCCAGGATAACGTGAGAGAAAATCCTTAGGTTTCTTAGGTTTTCTTAGGTTTTTTAACAGGGTACATGTGGGATACGTTAAGGGTATTGCACAGGTACGGTGGGATACGGCAAATACCAAAATGAAGTTAAAAACCTATGAGGTTACATGGGGACACGTAGAGGATACCGTAAAATACGGCGGCATACTGGGGATACAAGCAAAACAACATGCCTCGAAAAATTTAACGTGTACGAAATCATCCATATCTATACCTTTTTGCACTGGGGCCATATTCCACACTATCTCTGCAGTATCCTTTACTTATCTGCAGTATCCATTACGTATCCCACTAAGAATAACTCAGGAACCCAAAAACCATGAGAAAACAAAAGAAATCCAAAAACAATTAACGGGATACATAAAGGATACACAAGGATACTGTGGGATACGCTAATCAAAAAGTATGACTCATGAACAGTATTCGCGATACTTGCATGAAAACTAATTGATGTGTCCATGCGTATCACCTTCAAAATCCAGTTTTTCACCGTATCTTTGAGCGTCTTTAAGTATCCTTCATGTATCTTGCTAATTACAACTTTGGGATTATTAGCATCTGCGGTGCCCCAGCGTATCTTAAAGTATCCTTACTGTATCCGTCGAGTATCTTTCCCGTTCCGGATAATTTCACTACTCGAGTAGTCGAGGTATCCTGTAATAATTCCACCAGTGGATAATTTCACTGTTGATAATTTCACTAGAAGAACCCGGGATGCATAAAGGATACTGCAGAGACACGATGGGATACACAGTGATTTACACGTATAAAAGTAGAAAATTTGTATAATACACGAAGGTTACGTACGGTGAGGTTTGGGATGTTGACAAAAGTGGCCAATGTCAAAACGCCGGCAGAATTTTCTGCCGACCGAATTTTTGTGTGGTTAAAATGCCGGCCGAATTTTCGGCCGGCAGAATTTTTGTGGGGTCAAAACGCCGGCCGAATTTCCGGTGGTCAAAATGCCGGCAGAATTTTTTCAACATTTTCAACTAAAAGTAAAAATTCTAAAAAATATTACCCGCCTCGAGGCATACTTGCCACGCGGTGTATAACAAAGATTGGATCTTACAGTTACAAAAGGCTCTTTATCGGCACGCTTTTAGTGCTGTTGCATTGACAGCGTGCATAGAAACTCCCGGGAGACCGGGAGAGAAAGCAAAAGCCGCGCAAAAGAGACAAACAAGGTGTTCAACAATGCCACAGCGGCAATAACACCGAAGTGTGATCTAGTCTGATTCCTTTTGGAACGTACCCGAGATGAGCCAGAACTTCTGAGTCTAGACTGGCACAGCTGACTCTCGTGAAGGAATTTCTACGCGCAGACGCGCTCACAAAGAAAAGGCGTTCGTCGATGCATTTAACGGCAGAACATTATTCGTCGCGCAGCACAGCAGCCGCTGCGATTGGATTCTAACACTGATAGCATAATATTTAAATCGTTTTTTTGGGAAAAATATGCATAGCAGTTATGACCAATTTGTTTTTCTGATTTTTTTTTTTAGCTGTCGCAACACTAAATCGTGCCGATAAAGAAATTGTATAATTGCATAATTTAGATTCCCAAACCTTTGTTATACACCGCTTGCCTGCTATACCTCGAGGCAGGTAACATTTTTTAGTATTTTTTTACAACTGAAAATGTTGAAAATTTTGCCGGCGTTTTGACCACCGGAATTGCCGGCGTTTGATTCAACAGCCTTCTGACATTTGACACTGGTCGACAAAAGTTGACAAAAGTCACACCACGTACCCAGACAAATTTAACGTGTACTAACCGTGCCTAGTTTGGGCCAATGTCAAAACGCCGGCAGAATTTTCTGCCGACCGAATTTTTGTATGGTCAAAATGCCGGCCGAATTTCCTGCCGACAGAATTTTTGTGGGGTCAAAACGCCGGCCGAATTTCCGGTGGTCAACACGCCGGCAGAATTTTTTCAACATTTTCAATTGTAAGTAAAAATACTAAAAAATATTACCTGCCTTGAGGCATACCGAGTACTTGGCACGCGGTGTATAACGAAGGTTTGGGAATCTACACTTAAGCAATTACACAAGTTTCTTTATCGGCACGATTTTAGTGTTGCTTTGACAGCGTGTATAAAAACTCGCAAAAGAGAATCAAGAGGCCGCGCAAAAAAGACAAACAAGGTGCTACAAAATAGGTAGAAAACCAACTTAAAGCGATCCTCGCATAAAGTAAAGGGTTTACATAATATGTTAACCGACGGACGATGGAATGTATGGGTATATACAGGTAGAAGCTTCTTCTGAACGAATACAGTACATAATATTATTATGTACTGTATTCGTTTCAGAAGAAGCTTCTACCTGTATATACCCATACATGTTCCATCGTCCGGCAAAAAAGCAAAATTAAAGGAGTATCCAATGCGCTTTCAAAAACCAATCATCTAATCATATGCCTGACAAACTAACAAAAACAACAAGTAAAACAAAAAAAACAAATGTTATAATGCTATCAGTGCTTAGAATCTGATCGCAGCGGCTCCTGTGCTGCGCGACGAATAATGTTCTGTGTTAAATGCATCGACGAACACCTTTCCATGTGCGCGCGTCTGCGCGTAGAAATTCCTTTACGACTTACGACAGAAGTTCTGACTTAACTCAGGTACGTTTCAAAAGGGATCAGACTAGATAACATTTCGGTGTTATTGCCGCTGTGGCATTGTTTAACACCTTGTTTGTCTCTTTTGCGCGGCTTTTGCTTTCTCTCCCGGTCTCCCGGGAGTTTCTATGCAAGCTGTCCATGCAGCAGCACTAAATGCGTGCCGATAAAGATCCTTGTGTAACTGTTAGAGTGCCCAGATCTTTGTTATGCACCGCGTGGCAAGTTTACCTCGAGGCAGGTAATATATTTTAGTATTTTTATTTTACCTTTAAATTAAAATCGAAAATGTTGAAAAAATTCTGCCGGCGTTTTGACCACCGGAAATTCGGCCGGTGTTTTGACCCCACAAAAATTCTGTCGGCAGGAAATTCGGCCGGCATTTTGACCACACAAAAATTCGGTCGGCAGAAAATTCTGCCGGCGTTTTGACATTGGCCCCTAGTTTGTGGAGTATTAAATCGGCATGATACAATGCAACATGGAGGTACCACATCTATATCACCTGAATATATCTTGCACTAAGATTCTGTACCCCCCTCTAACTGCAGTGTTTATTCATTTTGAAAACATTTATTTTTCTATTTTTTGTATTTTCAAAAATTGTTTCTGCTTATTAAAGCCTCGTATGTTCTACTCTACATGAATTTCGCTTCTGTTCAATATACTTTAAAGTATTTGTTTTTCAAGGATTTCTCTATATGTATTTTATTCCTAAATTACTGTTCTAGTTTTACGTACATTAAATATTAAACAGTTACTCCCATATGTTAAAAACTGTTAAGTGTCTCGACCGACGTGACCAACAAAAGTCCCGTTTTTTCTTTTGGTCGATTAAGTACATACGTAGTACGTACCAATACAACGATGCATTTATAAAAAAACAGTAAGTACATAAAACACGATTTCCATGTAATCGTTTTCAGGGGAACGAAAAGTTAAACAAAATCTTGCAGTGTGGCCTGGTTCATAAATTGCAGCTTATTCTTACGATATTTATTTTCAAAAATATAGATAAACCGAAATAGAGCTTCGGTATTGGGATCATTTACTGTTCCGGCCGCAAATTCATTGCCCAGTCGCTCCTTAAAGGCGCTGAACGGTTGAACACCATCATGCTCCCGTTTCTTCACCAGCGCGTCTATGTCATCGTGGTGGGTGATGGGTGTGCCCAATTCAAACTGCCGGATTTCATCATACACGGGAAAGTTGTAGACATTGGCTAATTCGGCTTCCGGGTGCACCAGCCGCACGCCGTCCTGATTCGGTACTAAATGTATCTGAGGCTCTGTGCCGGGTTTTGGTTGGTACGACTTCCAGAAATCACTGGACATCACCACAATCATGGGCCGACTGATGCCCAGCAAACCCAGCGTCGTTACCGGCAAATCGATACGTTCGTTGCTAAAGACGACTAAATCTTTTGGAATCCCTTCGTAGATCATAAGCACAAGCAGTTTTATTATTTCCTCCGCTGTCCACGCGCGCAATCCAATTGAATCAACATAACCCGGCAACTGGATTATCTCGGCGGTGCCATCGCGCAACGTCCGCTTGGGCATTTCGCCTTTATTAAGCAGCCAAAGGAACGTACTCTTGCCCATTCCCTTCGGGCCCAACAGCAACAGCGAATCACGCTGCTGAATCGGCAGATGCAGATTATTGACAAAAGCCACTTTCTGCTCGCGGTCTTTAACCGGCTTCTGCAGCTGTTCAATCAGATGTTTCGCGCGCTCTTCCGCTTCCTGCATACTTTCATTGAGCTCGACTAGACGCTCTTCGTAGCGCTCTTTCTCGATAAACCACTGCTTCTCCGTTTCTTCCTGTTTCTGTTGGAACTCTTCGTCCAGTAGTTTTTGCTCTACCACTACAGCGTTCTGCATCGCTTCCAGTTGTTGTTCCAATTCCTTTTTTTTTCGCTCTCGCTCAGCTTCCCGTTCTTGTTCGCGCTGCTCCGTCAGCTGCCGGATTTCTTCCAACAATTTTTGCTGCTCCTGTCGGAAATCCTCCTCCAGTTTCTGACGTTCGACCGCTGTTGTATCGCGCATCTCCGCCAGTCGCTGTTCAAAGAGCGCGTGATCCCGGTCGCGCTGTTTTCGGTATTCGTCTTCTTTACGCCGGGCATCCGCTGCGCGCTCGGTGTCCTTCATCTCCTGATGCCGTTGAAACTCCCGTTGCAAGTGTTCACGTTCAGCAGCTGCCTTATCTTGCATGTTACGAACAACCTGTAAGAATCGGATCTTTTCTGCTTGGCGTTCTGTTTTGTACTGTTCTTCGCGCCGTTGTCGATCCTCTTCTTGGGCACGTATAACAGCGTCCATATCTGCACTGGCTGGCTCATGTTGCCTCATGCCGAAGAGAGAGGACAAGTACACCATCATATCACGTATTACATCCATGCTTGGATTTCCGATGTAAACAAGCCAATAACTCACTACTGAACCAAAATTGTTACCCTAATATCGCAAGAAATCTGATTGTCAGTTCTTCAAAGCTCCGGAAGTCAAGCACTTGGTGCTTGACTTCCATGTAAAACACGATTTCCATGTAATCGTTTTCAGGGGAACGAAAAGTTAAACAAAATCTTGCAGTGTGGCCTGGTTCATAAATTGCAGCTTATTCTTACGATATTTATTTTCAAAAATATAGATAAACCGAAATAGAGCTTCGGTATTGGGATCATTTACTGTTCCGGCCGCAAATTCATTGCCCAGTCGCTCCTTAAAGGCGCTGAACGGTTGAACACCATCATGCTCCCGTTTCTTCACCAGCGCGTCTATGTCATCGTGGTGGGTGATGGGTGTGCCCAATTCAAACTGCCGGATTTCATCATACACGGGAAAGTTGTAGACATTGGCTAATTCGGCTTCCGGGTGCACCAGCCGCACGCCGTCCTGATTCGGTACTAAATGTATCTGAGGCTCTGTGCCGGGTTTTGGTTGGTACGACTTCCAGAAATCACTGGACATCACCACAATCATGGGCCGACTGATGCCCAGCAAACCCAGCGTCGTTACCGGCAAATCGATACGTTCGTTGCTAAAGACGACTAAATCTTTTGGAATCCCTTCGTAGATCATAAGCACAAGCAGTTTTATTATTTCCTCCGCTGTCCACGCGCGCAATCCAATTGAATCAACATAACCCGGCAACTGGATTATCTCGGCGGTGCCATCGCGCAACGTCCGCTTGGGCATTTCGCCTTTATTAAGCAGCCAAAGGAACGTACTCTTGCCCATTCCCTTCGGGCCCAACAGCAACAGCGAATCACGCTGCTGAATCGGCAGATGCAGATTATTGACAAAAGCCACTTTCTGCTCGCGGTCTTTAACCGGCTTCTGCAGCTGTTCAATCAGATGTTTCGCGCGCTCTTCCGCTTCCTGCATACTTTCATTGAGCTCGACTAGACGCTCTTCGTAGCGCTCTTTCTCGATAAACCACTGCTTCTCCGTTTCTTCCTGTTTCTGTTGGAACTCTTCGTCCAGTAGTTTTTGCTCTACCACTACAGCGTTCTGCATCGCTTCCAGTTGTTGTTCCAATTCCTTTTTTTTTTTCGCTCTCGCTCAGCTTCCCGTTCTTGTTCGCGCTGCTCCGTCAGCTGCCGGATTTCTTCCAACAATTTTTGCTGCTCCTGTCGGAAATCCTCCTCCAGTTTCTGACGTTCGACCGCTGTTGTATCGCGCATCTCCGCCAGTCGCTGTTCAAAGAGCGCGTGATCCCGGTCGCGCTGTTTTCGGTATTCGTCTTCTTTACGCCGGGCATCCGCTGCGCGCTCGGTGTCCTTCATCTCCTGATGCCGTTGAAACTCCCGTTGCAAGTGTTCACGTTCAGCAGCTGCCTTATCTTGCATGTTACGAACAACCTGTAAGAATCGGATCTTTTCTGCTTGGCGTTCTGTTTTGTACTGTTCTTCGCGCCGTTGTCGATCCTCTTCTTGGGCACGTATAACAGCGTCCATATCTGCACTGGCTGGCTCATGTTGCCTCATGCCGAAGAGAGAGGACAAGTACACCATCATATCACGTATTACATCCATGCTTGGATTTCCGATGTAAACAAGCCAATAACTCACTACTGAACCAAAATTGTTACCCTAATATCGCAAGAAATCTGATTGTCAGTTCTTCAAAGCTCCGGAAGTCAAGCACTTGGTGCGGCTGTTTTTGTTAATGACAGATATTTGGTTAGGACGTGAAAAAGCATGGCAGATCTGCCGTTTTAATCAGGTATTGTATATCTACATGTATGCCAGGTATATCAAACTTATCGCTCTTACGGTTTTACCGATCACGGGGAATGCATAACAAGGCAGTGTAAAACAAAGGATATTGTGTGGTTGCTTGTGTGCGTTTTATCAGCAGGGCCAATGTAAACCCTTAGCCCATTCAGCGTTGATAAGAACCAATTACAGTAAATATTACACCAAAGCCAGGCGAGTTAAGTCCGATAAGGTTTGCTTTATTAACGAGATTTTTTAATCCAAATCCAATTAAAAAGGCAAAATCAGATACAAACCGCTTAACGTTATAAGAATATTTCACGAAGAGTTCGCCGGCCCACCCGAGAAAAAAAGTTCGAGACGCGCCACTGCAAAGCCTTCAGTTAGAGTTAGCTTGCAATTTATGCTTCCAGCGTTGTGCAAGCTTCGCAAGCAACTGCGGGCGCAAACCGCAGTTGCATATTGTTATGTGCATATTGTTATATGCAAGTACGGTGCACTGAGCTCGATTTTGCCGTTTAAAAGGATGGCCATTGCACTGCCAACAATTACTGTGGTTTAATTTAATTTATTGTCTTATGCAACGGGACACTGTCCCCTCAAGGCATTTGACATTCCAAAAAACATGATAAACAGCAAAGGTCACACAAAAAAACACAACATAATAATCATAGCAAATTGAGTTCGGCTAGGCAAGCAACAGAAATTGTGAAAAGGAAAGTACACAAAGTGAGCAGAAAACTACGAAAGTCAAAAGTCATGTCGACAATGTGCTATAATTATAAGATATTGGCTTAATGAAATGCATAAAAAGGGAGGGAAGCGATCGCACTGGTGTCCATGCGTAAAACCAAAACCCACTTACTGTTATTATTAGTATAAGTTTTAACAATTTTCGAAAATTTTTAATAATCTTGCGGGAAAAATGGAAAGCATGGACACTTACGTGCGTAATCGCACTACTGATTTACTAGCCAATATCTGTGTTGCGGTAATTTTAACAAAATGCTGATCGAACAATCTGACAAAAGCATCCAACTAAGAAATATCCTCCGACGTTGTTGAAGGTCCACGTACCAAGGCAGTGACCGGCCGATCGGCTAGGAGGAATTCAGAAAGAGTCTAGCAACCTAAAAAAAAAACCTAAAAAATCCCGTATTATTATTTGTTCATGCTACGAAAACGTTTAACACAGTTCAGTTCGCTCCAACAAACGTTATCCAGCGCATTCTTAAACACGTTGAGTGAGGCGTAGTCTTTCTTATCCAGAGTCATTTCATTCCATAACTGGACCAGGCGACTGGAGAGTAAGTCCGAGGAAGGAGGCAACGTAATCCCGCACAACGTTGTAGGTGCCGCCGTTATAGGGAAGGGATGCGCAGACAGCCTATTCGCCGATCTTGTATGACCTGAAATACAAGACAAGGCGGCAGCAGTTTGTTCAAAGGGTAAGAAAAACCGTTCTCCCAGAGGAATATGGTTAAAAACAAGCTTGTAGACCAAAACCAAGCTGCGTTTCAATCTGCGCAGTTCAAAACAATCCCACTTAAGCTCCAATAATCGTTCGTTAAAGCTTTCACTACCAAGACAGAGAGAGTACACAAAACGTTCTAAGCAGCGCTCTAATTTGTCTCGGCAAGTTTTGTTAGTGGGAGCAATAAAAGGGCAACAGTAATCAAACGATGTGAAGACCAACGACTTATACAACTGAATACGAGCAGCGGAATCAGCTTTTCTGAACGCGACATTAATCCAGCGAGTTTTTTTACGAAATTTAGTCACCAGATTACCGGTATTATCTTTGAACTTTAAATTGCGATCAAGAATTACGCCTAAGTATTTCACACATTCAGTTTTAACTATCGCATCGCCATTGAGATAGTACTGAGAATTACAATTTGCAGCTCGTTTTTTAGAAAAAGAAACGTGGAACGATTTTGCTGCGTTGAACACGAGTTTGTTACGACGTGCCCAATTCTCTACTGCGGTAAGATCCGACTGTAAAGCGATTTCATCATCTGTCGACATTATCGGTCTGTAAAGGGCTATGTCATCGGCAAACAAAAGTAATTCGCTATTGTAAATTAGCGCTGAAGGTAAAAAATTAAGTACACAGATAAAGAAACAAGGCCCTACCGTTGAACCCTGCGGTACACCACTGGTGACCTCCTCAACTTCCGATACACACCCATTCACAATTACACACTGCTTCCTGCCCTTCAGATAATCAGAAATTAGATGGACTAATTGACTATTGATCCCAAGATAATTAAAGCAGTTAAAATAACCTGGTGATCACATTTGTCAAATGCTTTCGAACAGTCTAAGAATAGCGCATGCACTTCAACATTATTTTCAATAAAATCAGTTGTGGATTTAATAAACCAAGAAACCTGAAGTTCACATGAGCGCTTCTCCCTGTAACCGAACTGGTGGTCCGTTAATTTATGATTCTTTTTAAGAACATTACGAATATGTTCATCAATGCAACGTTCAAAAATTTTTGAAACAGGGTTTAACAAGGAAATAGGCCGATAATTCTGGGGATTGGTTTGATCTTTGCTACCTTTTGGAATGGGAGAAATGTAGGAAAGTTTCCATCGTTCAGGGTAACAACCTTCATTTAGCGCTGCAGTGAAGATCATTTTAAGTGGTTTAGTAACTGCACTGGCGCACAATTTTAAAAGTTTGGTCGTTATTTCGAATGGGCCACTAGACGATGTAGACGACGAGCTTGCAATGTGATAAAAAATCATTTCTTCTGTTATTTCAAAAGGTTCAGCGTTGTTATTTACACATAAATCAACATTAGTTCCGTGACAATGACGATCACACGGCCCCTGCGACTTTGCGTACATCAGATTCAAAGCGGTAGCTTTTGCGATATCTGTACATAGAACTGAACCGTCATCCTTTTTCAGCGGCGGAATCCCAGTTTTATCATCAGCTGACTTTACGTATTGCCAAAATTTTCGTGGGTTATTGCGTGCTGCCGTTGCGGCCTCGCTGATCTGACAGTTTTCGAAATTGCGTACTAACTTTTCCGTATACTTGCACAGATTTTTCCATTTAAGCTTGTAATGCAAAGCGAGGTTAGCATCGTTATTTTTCAAAGAATTTCGGTAGTTTTTGAAAGCAGTATTTTGCTTTCTAATAGCTCTTTTAACGTTAACAGGGTAAACAACGCCGCCTTTACGTCTCGCTTGACCATAGACAAAATACCGCTTCGCAATTGACAGAAACAAAGACTCAAAAATTAGCACACGCTTGTTGGTATCAGCATTTCGAAAATGTCCGTCCCAATTAACCGCTACCAAATCGTTAACAAAATTAGCAACCTTGTCTTGGGCAATTTTCCAAGTGGGAGGAACGAAAGTAGAAGATTTTTTACGCTTTATAGCTAAAGATAGCTCAAACGCTGCATGATCATTTGAAACAGAAGGAGGACTTACGGGCTTAATATTCATTACTAAATTTTTTGGTGACAGAATACACAAATCCAAACAGTTTTTCATTCGAGTAGGAAAATCTACGATTTGAATTAATCGAAATTCTTTTAAAGCGGAAATTAGTTCTTCCCCAGTTACCGAATTTCCTTCATTTTTGCACCAGTTAATTTCAGGTAAGTTGAAATCACCTAATATTATTAATTTAGACATAGTTTCTATAGGGATGACAGATTCAAGATGATTAACAAACACGGGTAGTAGAGAACGTACTTTAGACGGAGACAAATAGACACAGACAATGACCCTGTCGATTACCGGAACTTCGACAAAAATCACCTCAACGGACGTTAGCTCATACTCAGTTCGTCTAAAACTTTTCATGTTTTTACGCACAATGATTGCCACACCACCACCATATCCGTATTCACGTCGTTTACGAAAAACATTGAAGGAACGCAGATCCGCAAATTTGTTATCGGTTATAGCCTCATTATCCCACGTCTCAGTAAGACCAGTTATATCCGCGTTTGCACAAAATAATTTTACCTGTCCACTTTTGTTCTTAACAATGTTAATGTTACAACAACGAACAACTACTGTCTTCAGATGGCGAAGGTTTTGGCTGGTCATTAACTTTAGCCTATCTTGGAAACACGGATCTTCATTGTTCACTATCACGGAACTATCGTTAATGCAGTTATCAACATAATTGTCACTGTGGGTAACTTGACCTGTACATTTAGCATTGGTTAAATTTTGCGGTGAAGCTGCATGTTTTTTACCGAACTGTTATAAAACATTCTCGATTTATACAAATTCTGGTAAACAGTACAGTATTCATGCGCGAAAGCCGCATGTGGATTTTTGGCATCGAATTTATCAGCTCTTTTACAGTTAACGCAAACGCAGTTGAACGAAGGGTCAGTTTCAGGACAGTTAACAGAAAGGTGAGATTTTGCACAATATCCACACACTGCGTCTTTTTCACATTTCACTGCTACGTGGTAAAATTCACAACATTTCTTACACTGTGGCACATAGAAATGGTCGCTGACAGGGCAAGAATACCAACCAAGCAATACGGATTTTTCAGCAATTAAACATTACGCGTTTCTCCATCAACATCGATAACAACTGCATAGGTCAAAGGATTAGGGCGGGTGCTGTTCAGCTTTTTCACGATTTTAATTTCGCTATCAGCGCGTAAATTCTTCAGTTTTAAATCATTCACAAAATCCTCTTCAGACATAGCAACTGGAATCCTACGAATTATCATGCGATGCTTACGCGTTTTCGGCTTTTCGACGTTTACTCCAAGCGTTTCACTGTGTTCTTTTAATAACGCTTCACCCTTAACTGCATCATCAGGAGTTCGAAATTCAACAATTACCGACTTACCAAAGCCTGAGCGGACATTTGTTACATTGGTGCCTTCGGCTCCAGCAGGGATCGTAGTCGATAAAACTTTGCAAAAATCCGTCATCTCTTTTGCTGTTTTACGGGACTGGCTGGGCACTGGCAAATCTTTCGGTTTAAGGACAAGGACGTTCTTGTTGGGCACATGCTTGGAATTCGTCACTGCGTTCCTTGAGGTCATAGTGGCATACGTTGGTTTCGATGCGACGGGCAGGACATTTTGTTGTTGAAGAGATGCAATTTCCGACAGGGCGGCTTTGTGTAGTTCTTGCAGGGAATCGGTCAACTCCAGCACAGCACGACCGTCAGTGGTCAGAGCATGATAGTCATTCAATTTTTTACATGCAAGAAAATTCGCAACGAACCGATTAATTTTGGCAATTGATTGGGAAAAATCCAGGAGAGGAATTTCGCAGGTAATAATTGAACTATTACTATTTTCCCCCCCCCATGGTGGGGAAAAGCGAAAGGTCACACCGTATTCACCAGTGAAAAGTTCAACCCGGATACGTTATTCTTCGCTAACGAAAAAGTTAGATCCGCACGCGAGACGCTTCTTCTGTGGTGACAAATTTTACGCGACCCCTCCAGTAGTTACCACCATTCGAAGTATACTGAGAAGGTAAAACAAGAAGTAATGAATATATGCGAAGTATTGATATTTGCCGTGCATTAGCTATACAATACAAAATACAAAATCTATGTCACCGGTAAACACGGTGGCGTGGCGCGCCGTGGTATGGAGGTAACCTATAAACTTGAATTCTATGCTCAGTTTATGCTCGCTGAATGCTCGACAGCTTTTACGGGTTCATGTAGCAGGAACATTGTGGCTTTGCAACTATACTCGTACTATGTAATAGCACCGTAATGAGCGCGAACCATTTTATAAATAAGCTTCATACCGAATCTTTTCGGTATGTATGTCCATTTGTGCAGCAGCCAAACAATATCCCATAAATTCCCATTTATAAATAATTGTGTTGCTTGCAAAAGCGGTTAAAAATTGGTTTCTCTCTTTTTAGATTGATTTGTGAGCTATGCTCGTGTATCAACGAGCAACCGGAAAAAATTCGGCGCAACTGAACAATACGAATCAAAAAATAGGTACATAAAACAACAGCACCATTAGGACGAATTTTTTCTTTATTGAAACCTGCTTTTACCTAAAGTCTTGAAGCGTCGCCGTGTTCATAAATTTCAGATTATTTTTGCAGTACTTCTTCTCGTATATGTAGATAAAGCGGAAAAGGACCTCGATTATAGGGTCGTTCTCCATTTCGGCTGTAAAGACACTCCTCAGTTTGTCCATAAAAAACTGGAACGGCCGCACACCGACCTGTTCCCGTCTGCGCACCAGCTGATCGATGTCGTCGTGGTGGGTGATGGGCGTGCCCAGATGCATCTCCTCGATTTCTTTGTAAGCCGTCAAGTCGTACACGTGATCAAGATCCGTTTCCGGCTCGACCCGACGCACACCGTCCTTGTTCTGTACCAACTGAAATTTGGGCCGACCACCGCCGGCCGGCTGGTACATCTTCCAAAAGTCCCCGGACAAGACGACGATCATGGGATTTCCAATGCCCAGCAGACCCAACGTTGTCACCGGTAGCTCGATGCGGTCATTACCAAAGATAATTAAATCCTTGGGGAAGCCCTGGTAGAGGAGCACCACCATCAGCTTCAACACCTCCTCCACCGTCCATCCGCGCAGCCCAATGGAATCCACGTATCCCGTCAGTTGCTCCATTTCCACCGTACCGTCGCGAATTGTCCGTTTCGGCATGGCACCGCGATTAAGCAGCCACATGAAGGTGCTTTTCCCGGTGCCTTTGGGACCGAGCAGCAGCAAGGAATTGTTCACGTGAATCCTTCGATGGAGACTGTTGACAAAATCTAGCTTTTCTTGCCGATCCTTCACCGGCTTCTCCAGCTGCTCACGCAGAGCGCGAACGTTCTCTTCAGCGTCCCGCAGACTCTGGGTTAACTCCTCCAGACGAGTCTCGTAACGGCGCTGATCCTCGGCGTGCTGACGCTCTATCTCCGTTTGGCGCCGGTTGAATTCATCTTCCATGCGCAGCCGCTCGGCGGCATTGGTCGCCCGCAGATCATCCATTCGCCTTTCATTTTCCATTCGGTCTTCCTGACGCTTTTGCTCGAACTCTTCTTCCCGCTGCTGATTATCTGCTTGACGGGCTACTTCCATCCGATCTTGCTCGCGACGGAATTCTTCCCGCATTTCCTGCCGCTCGGCAGCTGACTTGTCTCGCTGATCCTGCATGTTGCGTTCAAAGCGCTCGTTGTCACGCTGCTGTTGCTGTTTATATTCGGCATCGCGACGCTGCATTTCGGCGCGGTGCTGCTCCGCGTTCTGCTGCATTTGTCGCATGAACTCTTGACTGCTTTTCTGGTGCTCAGCAGCCGCTTTTGTTTGCATGTCGACTACTTGTTTAGTAAATGCGGTATGTTGGGCTTGCCTTTCCCGTTCGTACTGCCTCTCCCGATTTTGACGCTCCTCCTCATACTGGCGATGAATGGCTGTGACATCCACTGCCGGTTCGGAACGTCGGCGTCCGCCTCCAAATAGCGACAACAAAGCACCACCAATACCGACGACTACGGGAGCGATCCAAGCCATGATAAAAACCCACGCATGCGCACAAACAGATCAGTGAACACTGCAGAAGTCGCTATAACACCGAACTTCTTAGGAGCGCAATACCACTTACAACCGCCCATACTGACTATCAATCCCAGCCAATTTTGTCAGAACTGCACATGGTTATCTCATATTTTCTAATACAAATGCATCGATTAGAAGCGTGAGTATAGTACTTGTACTCGCACTTGTTGATACAAGTTCAGCACTTGTTGATTACAAGTTCAAAGGTAATTGTGCGTTCCGAGTGTTCGTGTCATAACTTCTTAGTATTCAGCTGCCTGCTGCTCCAAATGCGGCATGTGGCAGTCTTTTAACTCTTTGTGAGGACAACGCCATAAGCGTAAACACTCATAGAGCGTTCTCTTAGGTACGGCGGTATTGTCGACGTCGCCTGCATGTAAAGAAAAGCTAGGAATACCGCTGATAAATGGATTATGTGTGCGACTGCGGTTATCAGCTTAACCAATAACTCTTTATTTGCACTGACATAAGCACTGGACATTGATGCACATTGATAACTGGCAATTTACCGGAGCTTTGTACAAATAATTAACTGTAAGCGTTATGAGCAGAAATGCCGGTGGTGCAAGTGATCTGAAGTATTGCATCTATACGCTCAACCGGAATTCTATATTACAACCTTGTCCCCAATTACCAAACTGTATTCATAATGAATAATGACGTAAAAAATAATGAGTGAAACTTAAATAACACTAAGAGTAGCGCACCTTTCGCTCAACGTATCGAAATTTGTTTAGAAACTGAATGACAGAGTGTTTAACCATTCTTAATTAATATCTTCCGTTGAAGTCGGTGTCTGCCGGTTCAGTTCTCGCTCTCTTCTTCGATCGGCCAGTTTCTCGGCGCGGACGGTTAACTCTTCATCGCTACCAGCGCTTGGTCGGTCCCAGCTGGAATTTGTACCTGTCGCTTGTGACGCTACGAACGCGCTTAACCTGGGCTGGGGTGCTGTGAGGGTGCTGGTGGTGGTCTTTATCCGGTGCGTTGTTAGGGGGCGCTCCTGTCGGCGTTCTGCGTCCGTAATGCGGCGCGCTGTATGTTCTTGCTCTTTGCGGCGCTGGTCACTGTGAAACGCTTCCTCCATGCGCTGCCGCTCAGCAGCGGATGCGTTGCGCATATCCCCGTACTGTTTCTCAAACAGCAGCCGGTCGCGCTGACGGTGTGCGGCGTGTTCTTGTTCTTTGCGCTGTAATTCGGCGGCGTAGAGGTCACTACTCTGTTGCTGCTCCCGTTGCAGAGATTGGACAACCTGCTGGCGTTCGACAACCGCGGCATTACGGATCCCCTCTAACTGTACGTCTAATAAAGCTTGGTCTTGTTGCTGCTGCTCACTGTACCGTTCTTGCTTGCGCTGTAATTCCTCCATGTAGTGCTCATAATCCTGCTGTTGTTGTCCTTCAAACAGCGCGTCAATACGCTGTCGCTCGGCCAGTTCGCTGTTCTGCATCTCCGCCAACTTCTGCAGGAAGGCGGCTTGGTCTGCCTGCCGTTCTCGTGCATACTGTTCATCGCGGCGACGATCTTCCTCCTCCAGTTGCCGACGGTAGCGATCGGCTTCCTGTTCCTCATATTTACTACCCTGGCTTCCCATAGTCGACATACAATTCGACGGTATTGTCACCTCTTAGGAAAACTGCTGGCCGTTTCTTGACCCTGCCTGCGTTAACGTAATTTTTGTACGAGATACCCTTGTCCGTATAGCTCAGTTTCAGTTAACGATTGCCCGATTTCGACACTGCTACACTAAGATAACAGCAGCAGCATGTAATCAGAGAATATTCTTCATACAAACAACGATATCTTCTACGGTTCAAATGTCTATATTGTATGCTTATCCATCAGCGTGCAGTATCGCTAAATCGCAATCCACTCTGGGTTTATTTAGCTGTCGGGCAAGCAAAACGAGCAATGTAGCAACTTGGCATCATAATTATGACCGTAGTTCCGAAGCTCTGTGGTCTACACTTTCAAAATGGGACAAATTATAACTGGTACCTACTAATCTGTAAGTGACCTTCCAATTAGCCGCGGACGCATTAATATCTGCTTACTGAGAAAAAACCAGATACATTCAATAGCATAACGATTATGATTATAATTATTGATTCAAAATGCTTAAGAAGCGGTTAAACTCAAGGATACCACTAACATCAAATCATTGTAACATTCTGAACTGAACAGTCGACCCACTGTAACTTTGTAGGCTCTGACTCGCAGTCGAGCAAGGACTTATCAGATTTTTTGATAAGCTTGTAACGAAAGCTCCACACAGACCGGAAACGGCCAGATTTTTGCACACACAAAACGATGCCTAATGCGTTGCCGCAGAATATCAGGTTGATAGCGCATTACGCAACAGCGCATTTACCGCTCGCTGACTGCTTTTGTGTTGTGGGCGCATTCTGATCGGCAAATCTTACGCCAGTTAATCTCCTCTCATTTATTTTATAGCTGCACTAACCTATGCAATATCGATGTTTTATCGGGGAACTATTTTATCCACAAGGACAACATCCTAGAAATCCCGGTTATTCTGGGCACTTTTAGGATCTCGAACGGCCGTACAAGATTTCAACCAGGAAATAATGCTCTGCTCATTGCTGAGTAAATTTTCGAAGTACGAAAAAATTATTATAGAAGAATTTTGGTGATTAGAAGAAATTAAATTTTGGATGAAATTTGGTAAAAGCGAAAATCGGGAATTTTTGCAGAAGAAAACATAGTTTTGGAAGCCAACAGTTTCAAACAATTTTTATGATTTTAAAGATTTTAAATGAGATAAAAGTCGATTTACTCAACCATGAGGACAAAAGAAGGTGCGTAGCTCTGGCGAGGTTGGTTTGTTTAACAATCCCGCTAATTCGAAAAGCGGTAGGCATGTCGATTCCTTATTCTGTAATACTGGTTGTAACGCAATAAAAATGCGGACCAATGCACACAGTGCCACTATTAACACATTTAACAATTCTGAGCAGTTTGCATGCCGATAAGCAGTGCCAGCTGGCAGCGGTTGGTGATAAACGAGTAATTTGTGATGACAGCGGGACGATACTGTAACTGTACAATAGCATGAACACTAGAAAATATACAATCTCATACATGTAAGTTCCTTAATTAAACTGCATTTGGATGTGGAGGCTATTTTGGCCATTTGGACTTTGAGTTCGTTAGTGCTTGTACTGCAATAATAATTCTATATATATGGCGTGTTTATCTTGGCAGCCTTGACATCGTCCATAAGATAAGAATTGGCTAAATACTTCAGTACATGCACTGCAAACGTGCTGAATATGGTACATCGGCACTGCTAGGAAAGTGTTAACAATTACAACATGTAACATAAAAACACCGTGTTAACAAAGTAATCAGTACATTAGTAAGTACAACATAATTTTATTGCGAGCTAATTAGCATCAAGTGTCTAAGTAGAATATTACTATATAGAATCTAATTTGGAACTCCTCACAGCACCGTAAAAAGGCAGACGTTCGCATAATGTACGGTAAATAGTTCGACGATTTAATTAGTTGAACTCTTGCAACGTAGCGCTATTCATAAATCTTATTTTATTTTTCTTGTACTTTGTTTCAAAAATGTAGATAAAACGGAAAATGGCTTCCATGTTGTTGTCATTGTCCATTCCCACAGTAAATACGTCTCCCAGTCTGTCCATCAGAAACTGGAATGGCAAGACGCCCGCTTCCTTACGCCGGCTGACCAGAAGCTGAATATCGTCGTGGTGCGTTATGGGTTTGCCCAGATGGAACTCCTCAATGTCTTCGTACACCGGCAGATTGTATACGTACTCCAAGTCTTTCTCGGGTTCCACGTAGCGCGTCCCGTCGGCCTTCTCCACCAAGTGAATTTTTTGTTCACCACCGTTCGGTGGTTGGTACAACTTCCAAAAATCACTGGACATAATGACTATCATCGGATTGGTTATGCCCAGTAAACCTAAGGACGTCACCGGCAGATCAATGCGATCATTACCGAAAATAATCAAATCGGTGGGGATGCCTTCGTAAATCATCAAAACCAGCAGTTTCAGCAGCTCTTCGGGCGTCCATCCACGCAGTCCAATGGAATCGACGAACCCACTCAGATGGATAATTTCCACAGTCCCGTCTCGAATTGACCTTTTGGGCATTTGACCTTTGTTGAGCAACCAAAGGAATGTGCTTTTCCCCATACCCTTCGGCCCGACCAGCAGCAGTGAGTCGTTCTGCTGGATCTTCAACTCGAGGCCGTTGACAAATTCAATTTTCTTTTCGCGGTCCTTGATAGGCTTCTCCAGCTGCTCGGCCATTTTTTGCACCCGCTCTTCCGCTTCCGCCATACTGTCTTGCATGGCCATTAATTTTTCCTCATAACGCTCCCGTTCACCGGCCCATCTCTGCTCCATGGCTTCCTGTTGCTGGCGGAAGTCAGCCTGCAGTTTCTGCCGCTCGGCTTCCGTGGCGTCTTTCATGTCGTCCAGCTGTTGTTGAAACACAGCGCGGTCCCGCTCTTGCTGTTCCTTGTGCTCTTGATCACGCTTCTCCATGGCCAGCCGGCGTTCCTCGTCCAGGCGCTGTTGCTGGCGCCGGAACTCCTCCTCCATCTGGCGGCGTTCTTGTGCCGAAGCGCTGCGCATTTCCTCCAACCGACGCTCAAACATGTTCCGATCTCTCTCACGGTCGCGAGCATACTCTCGCTCTTTCTCCGCCATGGCCTGTGCACGCTGCTGGGCCATTTCTTGTTGTTGCTGTCGGTAGGCGGCTTCTGCGCGTTGACGCTCGGCCGTAGCCTTCTCCTGCATCTGCTGCATGGTCTTCATCATCTGGGCCTGCTCCGCCTGACGCTGCTGCTGCTGCTGTGCTTCCCGCCTCCGCCGTTCCTCTTCATGCTGACGCCGGATGGCTTCGTGGTCCACACGCGGGGCCGGTTTGGATCCACCGCCTCCCATGTTGAAGCGCTTATTTTCGCAACCTGCTCGTTAATTTACAGTCTACGCGGGCTTGTCGTGGTAGCGCAGGCTTTCCTGTAGCCGGAGCGGTTCTGTTCACATTGCTTATTTCAACGACATTCAAGGCCGGTTATCAGCTACTCTAAATGTATGTACGCTACCCGTATAGGGAATTCATTCTAGCACAGGATAGTTACTTAACGTTTGATAATTACTGATAAAAGCCGTATTGAATGGTTTTCACTTGTGAATCTAGTGGTTAAAGTTCGCTGTTATTTGTCTTAGTCCTTATCAAGCAGCGTTTAATTTGCGGCATCTCTCAATCGCTGTCCATCGTCGTTATTCGCAGCCCTCAGCCATCCAACTTGGACCGTCGCCATCACCCATTCATTAATAATAATGATTTCATAAGTAATGTTTGCAATGCATACTGTAAAATATTATTAAGAGTACTAAGTCATATTTTCAACAATATCTGTACGGTTAACGACGGGAAACCTACTCATCAAACACACAACCGTTACCATGTTTAACACTATCATTTAACATAATGTAACACTATCATTTCACATTAACGTTTAACATTACCATGTTTAAGCAGGGAAACTGCAGGCTGCTGTTTAATCGTTTATGTACGGGTACGAGTATTTTGGGTTAGAATGATGCAAGTACATGTACTGTCTGTATGCGCATGCGCACGATGCGTCAGCTCGTCGGCCCGTTTCAGCATTGTACACAAGATGCCTTCCTGAAAAAACAGCACAGTCAAACGACACACGCGTTTGTGGAGTTTAATATGGTAAACTGTCTTTGTATTATCTGTAGTTCCACTGCAAACATCTAGGATTTGTCTCAAATTTGTCTCAAATAACGCTAATACTAACGAAATATTTTTACACTTCCTCTGTAAACCTGCCTCAATGATGTACGGGGAATCGATAGCAATGCGGCTCTTCTTATCGCACCATAAATAATTGTGGAACAATGGGGATTGTCTATATTAAGTAAACAGCGATAATCGCAAACGCCGGCGCCAATAAAAAGCACAGCCTTTGACGGAATAATTTTGTACCTTCGCGATTCATTGAGTCGTAACCGGAGAAAAAACGTACGGGATGGCTGACATCAAGAGCCTTTTATCGCTGGTATGTGATGATCTCTCCAGTTGAAAGGTCATTAATTAACTCGTAAAATTGGATAAATTGCAAGCCTATGTTACCCGAACGTAGTATTTCATGGTCAGTTAAGTGTAAAATGACCGTTATTTTTTTCGACAGTAAAGTCGGGAAAACGTTATGTTGGTATAGGGTTTTTGTTATGGGCGACCATTGGTCGGAACCTGGCAAAAGAATGTACAGAAGCCAACGGACGCGACCTTGTGATCGCCATCGACACTACCGGCAGTATGCACAACACCCTGGAAGCGGTTAAAGCCAAATGCGCGGAGCTGGTGGAGATAGCATGCGTCACGCCGTCGTCACCGCGGCGCTATATTCTCACACCTTTCGACGATCCAGACTGGGGCCCGGCTATACCGTACACGGATCCGCGACAGTTTCTGCAGGCTCGATGCGCTGACACCGGAAGGAGGTGGTGATGATCCCGAGAGATGCCTAGAGGCGGTGGATGCGGCCTCCGATGAGGCTGAGAAGGTGCTGTTATCCACGTCTTCACCGACAACCCCACCAAGAAGCCCAGCAATATTAGTGCCTCAGCCTTGCGGGCCAAGCTGAACAAACGCCAGCAAGCAGTACGCTTCACTATTCCCAATCCATCCATTCGGGAATCGGATGTGCCGGATTATGTCTTGCTGACAGTGGGCGATGGTGCACTGTACATTACCGAGCCCGATATGGCCAGCATTCAAACGGCATTGTTTGAAATAGACAATCAGGATACTGTAATCTTGCAGGGGCCCGAAAAATCGGATACAGCGTCAAAAATTATAACGGTTGCGGTGGACGCCGGTATGCGCATGATAGAGCTGGTACTGACCGACGACCGACATCTACCATCGGCCAATTTCAATCCACCCACCCGCAGCAGAACGGATCCACCAGTAGCGCAAGTAGTAGCCACGACGGTCAATACCAAAGTCTACCGGGTCCTTAATCCTGTGCCCGGGAATGGACCATCAGTGTCCAGGGAACCGCGCCCGGTTGGGAGGCCAAAATAAACGGGCAAAGCACTCTGGACTTTATTTACGCAATGGGTCAGATGACATCCTCCGGTTTCCTTACCCATCATGGGAGCTCTAGCAGTGGGGATATTGCCACCATTCAGTTGACCCCATCCTGTGACCGTTGTGTGGTTAACAGTGTTTCGTTAATTGGAAGCGACGGTGTGGTTTTTGGAAGGCCTCTGGTGAGCTTCCATCCGGCTACTAAAGCCTATTACGCCAATTTCACCGTGCTTATTTCAACGACATTCAAGGCCGGTTATCAGCTACTCTAAATGTATGTACGCTACCCGTATAGGGAATTCATTCTAGCACAGGATAGTTACTTAACGTTTGATAATTACTGATAAAAGCCGTATTGAATGGTTTTCACTTGTGAATCTAGTGGTTAAAGTTCGCTGTTATTTGTCTTAGTCCTTATCAAGCAGCGTTTAATTTGCGGCATCTCTCAATCGCTGTCCATCGTCGTTATTCGCAGCCCTCAGCCATCCAACTTGGACCGTCGCCATCACCCATTCATTAATAATAATGATTTCATAAGTAATGTTTGCAATGCATACTGTAAAATATTATTAAGAGTACTAAGTCATATTTTCAACAATATCTGTACGGTTAACGACGGAAACCTACTCATCAAACACACAACCGTTACCATGTTTAACACTATCATTTAACATAATGTAACACTATCATTTCACATTAACGTTTAACATTACCATGTTTAAGCAGGGAAACTGCAGGCTGCTGTTTAATCGTTTATGTACGGGTACGAGTATTTTGGGTTAGAATGATGCAAGTACATGTACTGTCTGTATGCGCATGCGCACGATGCGTCAGCTCGTCGGCCCGTTTCAGCATTGTACACAAGATGCCTTCCTGAAAAAAACAGCACAGTCAAACGACACACGCGTTTGTGGAGTTTAATATGGTAAACTGTCTTTGTATTATCTGTAGTTCCACTGCAAACATCTAGGATTTGTCTCAAATTTGTCTCAAATAACGCTAATACTAACGAAATATTTTTACACTTCCCTCTGTAAACCTGCCTCAATGATGTACGGGGGAATCGATAGCAATGCGGCTCTTCTTATCGCACCATAAATAATTGTGGAACAATGGGGATTGTCTATATTAAGTAAACAGCGATAATCGCAAACGCCGGCGCCAATAAAAAGCACAGCCTTTGACGGGAATAATTTTTGTACCTTCGCGATTCATTGAGTCGTAACCGGAGAAAAACGTACGGGATGGCTGACATCAAGAGCCTTTTTATCGCTGGTATGTGATGATCTCTCTCCAGTTGAAAGGTCATTAATTAACTCGTAAAATTGGATAAATTGCAAGCCTATGTTACCCGAACGTAGTATTTCATGGTCAGTTAAGTGTAAAATGACCGTTATTTTTTTCGACAGTAAAGTCGGGAAAACGTTATGTTGGTATAGGGTTTTTGTTATGGGCGACCATTGGTCGGAACCTGGCAAAAGAATGTACAGAAGCCAACGGACGCGACCTTGTGATCGCCATCGACACTACCGGCAGTATGCACAACACCCTGGAAGCGGTTAAAGCCAAATGCGCGGAGCTGGTGGAGATAGCATGCGTCACGCCGTCGTCACCGCGGCGCTATATTCTCACACCTTTCGACGATCCAGACTGGGGCCCGGCTATACCGTACACGGATCCGCGACAGTTTCTGCAGGCTCTCGATGCGCTGACACCGGAAGGAGGTGGTGATGATCCCGAGAGATGCCTAGAGGCGGTGGATGCGGCCTCCGATGAGGCTGGAGAAGGTGCTGTTATCCACGTCTTCACCGACAACCCCACCAAGAAGCCCAGCAATATTAGTGCCTCAGCCTTGCGGGCCAAGCTGAACAAACGCCAGCAAGCAGTACGCTTCACTATTCCCAATCCATCCATTCGGGAATCGGATGTGCCGGATTATGTCTTGCTGACAGTGGGCGATGGTGCACTGTACATTACCGAGCCCGATATGGCCAGCATTCAAACGGCATTGTTTGAAATAGACAATCAGGATACTGTAATCTTGCAGGGGCCCGAAAAATCGGATACAGCGTCAAAAATTATAACGGTTGCGGTGGACGCCGGTATGCGCATGATAGAGCTGGTACTGACCGACGACCGACATCTACCATCGGCCAATTTCAATCCACCCACCCGCAGCAGAACGGATCCACCAGTAGCGCAAGTAGTAGCCACGACGGTCAATACCAAAGTCTACCGGGTCCTTAATCCTGTGCCCGGGGAATGGACCATCAGTGTCCAGGGAACCGCGCCCGGTTGGGAGGCCAAAATAAACGGGCAAAGCACTCTGGACTTTATTTACGCAATGGGTCAGATGACATCCTCCGGTTTCCTTACCCATCATGGGAGCTCTAGCAGTGGGGATATTGCCACCATTCAGTTGACCCCATCCTGTGACCGTTGTGTGGTTAACAGTGTTTCGTTAATTGGAAGCGACGGTGTGGTTTTTGGAAGGCCTCTGGTGAGCTTCCATCCGGCTACTAAAGCCTATTACGCCAATTTCACCGTGCCATCAGAGTTGTTCCTCGTTCAAATAAGAGGAAGAGACAAAGAGGGGAACGTGTTCGAACGGGTCCATCGTACGGCCGTCCTGCCATCGTCCTTACGATTGGAAGCGACCCGCGGCGGTGAAAGCCCGGAACCAGTCGCGCCGGGTGATTCACGGCGGATCTCCTACACCATTGTCAATCATGGCAATAGTGCCACCTTCGAGCGGACGATCAGCGGCAACGCGCACGTAGCCGCCGTGTCTCCTTCCAGCGTCCACGTTTCAACGGGTGAGCGCGTGACCGGGTACGTTGAAGTTATCGTTCCTCGCACTGCCGTTCCAGGAAGCACGATTGAGATCCTGCTTCTGATCAGTGCACCGGCAACGGGCGCAACAAGCTCCCTGCGCAAGGTGATCACCGTGGCCGACAGTGGACCCACCTGCAAAGTCACCTTCTCCAACCTGGCGGAAGTCTGTTGGAACGTCGGCCGGGATCCGGTGGCGTGCCGTGATCAGCGCTACAGGGTTCAAGTGACGTTTGCCGACCAGGAAATGGGTCTGCGCACGATACGCTTGGTCCGCGATCACTGGGTGGGGCTGGCTACGTGGTCGTTGCCCAATGACGTTGCGCATATTTCCAGCGAAACGGTGAGCGGCATCGCCACCGGCAATTGCTGTACCAAGGGCATGAAGTTTGTTGCAACAAATGCTAAAGGTGAAACGACCGAATGCTCGGTCCGTCGCTGAAAGACCGTCTAGTCTGCCGGCTCGTATTGTTGCCTCGTGGGGTTATTTTACATTATGAATTTGTGGGTTCTTTTTCTGATAGTGCGTTTGTTGGTATAGTAAGTGGTCTTTGGAACAGTTTTTGGTCTTTGTTAAGTGATTGAAATGAAGTGATTTAAATTGTGTTATTCCAAACTGTGGGTGGCTCCCACTGTTCTGTCAAATGGGTGATCGCGAATTATGCCGAAAGTATGAGGACTTAAAGGTGTTAATCGATTCTAGTTATTAAACACCCTTGGTAACCTAATAGTTCTATTGGCATTGTTTTATTCTGCCCTCTAGGGCATTGTTTGAAAACCCCTATATTTACTCTATTTTCTACAAATGCGAATTAAATAGGTTTACTAGGAGACCGTGAGGCCTTTTGCCATATTATTCATATTGGCCAGCTGATTGCAGGTGCCGGAACTGTAGGTCGCTCTACTTAAGAATTAGCACAGTTTGTGGAATGACAATAGTAAAAATTCATGCACCGTAAACTGATGGTTTTACAACCTTATCAGCACCGCGAAGTTCATATTGTGAGCACAACTACAAGGTCTCTTCTGAAAATTCACAGTCCACAGTCCTTGCCATTGAAAGTGGCTCTTGTACAATGAGGTCCACAGGTCGCGCGAATGTTTAGAAAAGCGTAAATGGAAACAGCGAGTGTTACCATTTTCAGTTCTTACCGTTAGTTATAAGAGCGAGTAAGAGCAAACAAAGAGATACTCAAACTGATAAATTAGCTACAGCCTACGGTAACCGTTGTGTAATTATTGGTTTTTCGATAAGTATTATTCGTCCTTATCGGAAAGTCACTGCAATTTACGCTTAGCGCTATAGCTGACAATTGAGTGTCGTTCTGTACCTGTGTGTGTTACGCGATGAGCCGCAACAGGAATGAATCGCGTGGCTTTTCTTAGAAGAAAAATATCGTGAAAAAATGGAGCGATTTCCTGATTCCCGACCAGGTTGGTATAACATACTGTTCTACGACAAGCGTTGCAGTAAAAACTAACATGCCTCTTTACGATGTGCTGTATTAAAGTATTTGTAGCGAATAATGTGCAACATATTTGTGTTTGAATGTGCAATTACTTTTGCTAAACCGTCCATTTTGTAAGTTTATGGGACCTTGTTGGTTGGCTAAAAGACGCTTAATTAAACCAGTCAATACTGGTTATACGGTAAAGCCTTTATAAAGTGATATAATACTAACACATAAATTATATGAAGTATAATATTTTTAAGTACCGTCCACATTTCGATTGCACAGTGTGCATTAAGCGTTTAAAAATTTGCAGAAGCCGGCAATGATGGGTATACCGCGGTTTCCATTGCACATATCCCATTTGGTCAATTACGCATACCTTTCTACCGAAGCATTGCAGCCGTAAACGAGAAGGACGCCATTGTGTTCTATCACGGTCCTCTACTAATCCTACAGCCACATTCCTTGACAAGCCGGCACAACCCGTTTACCAGAAAGCATGCTATCAATTTCACCGTCACCATTTCGAACTCCGCTTTCAGGCAACATGCAAAAACAGCACAATCAAACCTATTTAAAATAAGCTCTTGCGATAGCGACGTGCGATCGATGTTGATCGAGCAAATACAGGTGACCGCCATCGAAGAGTCGCCGGTGTACCAAGTGGACAGTAGCTGGCAGTCATTGCAGCCCGATTCTGATGCAGTAACCTTTCGTATGAGCTGTGCGGATCAGCTGGCCGGTGACGAACTCATGCGCAACATCATGGCCTATCCGGCTATGTTTTTAGAAAATTTTGTTGTGCGCTATCGCGTCGCAACGCAGCAGGTCAGTTTCGATCAATGAAATTTCTAGCAAACTCTGTCTTGCATCAAAAACTGACTTTTCTGCAGATCAGTCGAAATACATGTGAACTAACCGGCAAAATCCACATCTTTAATGAGGAAGAAACACCGGCTGCAACTCTTGACCAAGCAATCACCGAAACGCAAAATTCCAACGCAGTAAAAATCAGAAATGAATATTTGGATGAAATTGTCTGCCATGCGACAAAATCTCGCATTAACGGCATGGAAATCTACCGACCCAAATTGGAACAGCTCTTTATTGACAGCGAGGATAAACTTCGTTTTGTCCGTTTTGGAAAATCCGCGCCCCAGGAGACTCCGCCAAAGGTCATCCTCGTGTTAGGAGCCTCGGGGGCGGGAAAGAGCACCCTTGTCGACTGTATCTTTAACCATGTTTTGGGTGTGCAATGGGATGACGACATGCGGCTGAAGGTCACAATTACGGAAGATTCGGTCAGGTACACCACCGCGTACCAAACCGTCGTGCAGTACGGCAGTGCCGCTCCCTACAATCTAATTTTGGTCGATGCTCCCGGATTCGGCGACCCACGCGGCGTTGGGCAAGATGCCGCTCTGCGAATTCAGCTGCAGCAGCTTTTCGTTGGGGATTACGACGGGGTGAAACATGTCGACGGCATTTGTATAGTCGTGGAAGGCAACCAGTCACTGACAGCGGCCACGGACACGTATATCATGGATTGCATTTTGTCCATGTTCGGTCGCAATGTGGAGTCAAACATTTTTCTATTCTCTACACATACCCACAATCAGGAGCCGCCAGCGGCTGTTTCTTTCAAGAAAAACTATTTACCACTGTGTGAGTCATTCGGGTTTAACAATGGCGCTCTCTATTCTAAGGAAGAAGAAACGTCCGAAAAGTCCGGCGAACTGTATTGGAAAATGGGAGCGACCAGTACTAAGCAGCTCATTCAAGCAATTCAAAAATTAGGACCAGCCAGCATGGAGGAGACTTTGGCAGTTCTGGATGACCGATTGGCTTTGGAAGCTGCCGTTGACGGTCTGAAAGACGCGATTGATGCTAAAATGGAGAAACTGGGAATTCCAGCACTACTGGTACAGTTTTACTAGAAGTAATTAATTCCTGCGCTGTATTGTTCAAAAATCAACAAGACTACCGCACGCAGGTATATTCAGAATTGAGATAGCTTTGAAAAAACGAGTTTCGAGGTGCTGTTAAGGTGCGCAAAGCAAACTTTCCCCGCGTAGGTACAGGTACGGTACACGAAAACTGGTCTCATGTACCGGGCTACTTCCCAAGTTACCATTAATAACTGAGAATGTGACGCTAACCAAGAACGTCTCCAATTTCGCGGCTAATTTTGTACAGGAAACGATGGACGCTTGCAGTAAACGAATGGAAGAAAACGCCTGTTTCACCAAGGAGGTGGAGATGCCGTATACGAAACGGGTTACCTTACCAAATGGTCAGTTTTCAATGCACTGTATCTCCTGCAACAAAGAGTGTTTCCGCACATCTGATCCCTATCATAACCGCGGTTCCTACTGCAAACGCTGTCCCCCTCTTTGTCCCTGGGACAAGCACGTTTCATCCCCATATTACATGGAGAAAGGTACCAAAAAGGTACCACAACTGCAGCCAGAAGTAAAACGTCGCTACGAAGCGGCATTAGCGGAGAAAGAGCAGATAAAGAATACTATCGACAGCACGCTGAAGGCGGCCGATTTGGATGTCGCCGGCGGCGAAATTAACCGTTCCATCTTGCAGTGCAGTGCGATTTTGCAACGGCTAAAGGAGACAACTATACGAGCAGGCATTTTAGACAGCGGAGAATACGTGGAGGCCTTAATCCAGTCTGAAAAGGTGGAGAAGTGTTCCGGGTATCTGCGGCGAACTGAGGCATTAATGGAAATTAAGCCGCGCGCGATATTAACTGAAATCTGTCGGAACGTTGTGCGGCACGGTGAACAGGCAATGAAACTGGACACTCCCACATGGATTCGCATCATCGCCGCGGAACGACAGGGTCTGGAGGAGTACTTCCCGTACGATGAGGAGCGAAAGGAAGAGGAGCGGAAAGCCGAACGCCAGCGGCGTGAAGAGGAGATCCAGGAACAGCGCGAGCGTACCCGGGGATTGCTTGAACGGCTGCAGCGAAAGCATAAGGAGGAACAGCAGGAAATTCAAGAGAAAATGAAAAACGAACAGCGTGAATACCAAGAAAAGCTGAATTCCTATTCGCAACGTATCAGCGAGGCGAAGAAGCGCATGCAGGAAATACAGGACCAGATGGAAAAGCCGATTAAAGATCGTGAACAAAAGCTGGCGTTTGTGAATGGGTTAGGGCTCCCGATTCGCGAGACAGATAACGTGCTGCTGCTCGGCCCTAAAGGGATGGGCAAAAGTACGTTCTTGTGGTTGCTCAACAAAGGCGAGAAGCCCACACGCACTATGCACGACGGTACGAAGGATCTCGTACAGGTGCCGGGTTTCACCGATTCCATTGGACTGCGGGCGTGGACCCCTGAAGAGCTGCTGAAACTCCTGACGCTTCTCATTTATGACGGAATTCCTCGCGATCTAATCATCTTTAGTAACGAGCGGATCGATCTGCCCGTGACATCGTTGGGATTGGTCGGTATCAATAATCCGATGTTTGTCGTCATGTCTAGTGCGTTCTGGAGTAATTACGGTCTGCGCGCTGACAATCCGCGCAAGATCAATTTGATACAGGATGAGCGGGGCGTACGCCGTATCCAGCCGGAAGAAAATCTGGGAGCGGCCTACAACATGGAGATTTACCGCATTATCCGGGAAGAGGGCCTGGGCACGCCACTCACCCATCATGATAATCTGGAAGATATGGTGCAGCGCCGACACTCGAACGGCGTGCAGCCATTCCAGTACTTCATCGATAAACTCAGGGATCAGTTTACGGTTGAAATGGAAAATGATTCGACTATGGAAGCGCTTTTCCGGTTTGTCTACTTATACGAAAAAGTGTACGAAAAAGACCGACTGAAGTTTATGAATATGGCAACTCTGGAAGAGTTCCCGGTATAGCGGTGACATGTTTGTTTCTGCTGTTGAATAATTGTAAGGCAACACGAAGAAAAATGGCTTTTGATTTTTTGTTGGAAACTGGTGACTGTTGAAAGTGAGTGTCACGACGTGAAGGAGCGACCTGCTCTTTATTTCATCGTGAACTGAATACAACAATCAAAGGACAATAACAACAACAATAATGAACCAACATAATCTCACGGCAAGTTGCCTGGGGCATTATGGAAATCTCGTGACGCCATACATTACAATGAGTCTGAGCTCAAGTTCAACACTCGCCATTACCTAACTTTTCAATTACTGTACCATCGTCGGTGTATGCCAAGTAAATGGTCAGCAGCAGCTAGGTACTTACAAGCGCACCTGCTAACAAGTTGTATACGGCGACGGTCTAGATGCTTCTCTACGAATACAGTGTCTCGAGCGAACTTTTGTAAAATCCGGGGAGTTTTGCTGTTTACAATAGGATGGAAATACAGGGGTGCCGCGCCAAGTTCGGGCAGTTTACTTTAAAAATCTCTGTAGGTCACCCACCAACAATTTACGTGTCATTCAATTTTTTCATTATCCCCGTAGATTTAAAGCATCTTATTTAGTACGGGTCGCAACAGTGAGGGCGTGGCCTGCAATGTAGCGAGACTTAAATTAAAGCCGACCAGCATAAAAATGCGGTTCGACCCATGAACCATTCTAACCTTCCGCCCATTTAAAATTTGTTAAGAAATTCCGCTCATGCTAAATCGCGAAACTGATTACGCGGGGGCGTTTGCCAATGAACGCTCTTTCTAATTACGTCTGACTCCGTTCTTTTTTAATGAAGGCTAAGTGACCTTTGCAATATTACTGGAGGCACTGACAAAATGGAAAGTGGTGCCCTTTGTAAGCTAACAGCACTCGCGGAAGGTCGGATATGTCTATGATACGTAAAATCTCGTTCACTAAGAACCAAGCAACTATTTTGGCTTTTCGCATTAACATGAAAAAGGCGGCGACATCCCGTTTTAACACAGTTTAGCATTAACGAGAGATTTTTTGATCATTGCTTAGTATGATTTTTCTTTGATTTCTCCGCTTGCTCAGTCTTACCACCTGTTTGATAGATATCAGACAAAACACAAAAATCCTCTACTTTACTGCATCTTTCAATCATGGAAAACATTATCTTGAAATTACTTGGCTCTGCGCGCTAGGCAACCGCATTCTTCCGGAAGCACGTTTTAACATACAAGTCTATGGGAGATGCACCTTGTTCCAAGGTCACCTAGAGCTGTGGCGCAAGTCCCTCTGATGACCCGTGAAGGATACCTTCTGGGTCACCCAATAGTTTTCGAAAACATTTGCGGAAGAATATTTGTTGGCGCATTTTTTATAGATCCAGCTATAAACCCCTTAAAAATGACCACCACCCCGGTCACTTATATTTCGGCCGGCTCCTTCCTACCATGTCGAACAATTACACTTTTGACAGCGTCGGATTCGCAGTAAAAAGTTGTACTAGTAAAGTGGAAAAGCAAAAACAGAACAGCGTGCGAAAATATTTTGTAATTTATTTTACACAACTGCCCGAACTTGGTGCGCACCCCTGTACAAACCATCGCTTCGGATATACTGTAAGCAACTAATGTAAGATTCAAGGAAGTGACTAATTTTAAGACTGCATGCTTCGAATGCCTTACATGCCATTCGTCAAGACATACTCGTATTATACTTTGGAGTAAGTCCGAGCGGCTTACGTTGGCCTTGATTACATTTAAATTCGAAATGCACCGCCATGTTACGTATAAGCTCTCAATAATATGTTTTTCCAATAAATACGATGGATGTCGAACTACCGTAGATGTGCGTCGGCATTCAAGTACGATTTTCTTATCTTCAAACAGTTGATAGCAGAGTGGAGAACGCAAAGTTGTTTCGATAAGGGAAATAAACAACTAATGGATGCACGTGACAAAGGCCACCTGGTGGAACTTCATGCGATATTCGTCCCACTGACAAGTGTGTACACACAGCCCTACCGAAGCAACCGGATTACATGCACACCGACCTTGATTAAATTTGATTTCGAAGACTCCCGTAGTCGTCGAGAGTTGGTTAAAATCGCATTGATTCTGAAACGCGCTTCCCGTTAGCTTTTGGCGTGTGTTTTTCTTAACCCCGGTTTGCAGTGAGGCACTTTGAAAACGCAAAAGGATCTTGGCAGTTCTTGATATAAACGCCATTGTGGTGATTATTCTTGAGATGTATTAACTTTAATTTTTTTGAATGTCAAATTTTTCAACCGCTCCACAGCATGAATTCAGTGCCAAATGAATAAGTTAATTTATATTACTGACGCTGTCAAAGCGCAGAATGCTGCCATGGGGATAGCTAACTATACCAAAAACACAATACTGCATGGCATGATGGCAGTAAAACATTGTTCACGCTGATCGGAAATGCAGAGTTTTGACCAATAATTGAACGGTAGAGCTTCCGTTAAGCTTGGCAGTTAAGCTGGTTAATGGGTTTGAGTGGCTTCGGACTGATCTGTTGTTGGCTTAGGATCTGCTCCACGCGCTGCTGGACGCTGGGCGTGTAACCCGAACGGTCGCGGCTCAGAAGCCATAAGAACTCTGTCAACAAACGCTGAATCAAAATCCTGTTCCTTGTGTGTGTGTCTATCACAAAGCGATGTAAAAATTTGTTGAATTCTTACCGCTTCTGAATGGTCCGAGATTGCGGCAAGCGTATACCTACAAATTAGCCAGTCCCATTAATAATTTGCACAGTTGTGTCATCTTTATCCGTGCATTATCAAAGTTCTCCTAGGCACGATTGTTCATTGTGTTAACGATAAGTGGGTAGTGTGTACTTACAACTGAGAATGCAGTGTAATCCGTATCAATCACCCAGTAATCTCCAGCCGGCTGATTTTCTGCACAATAAGTGTCAATACAGTTGCATAATTCTGGCAGAGAACAAGTTTTCGTACAAACAGTTTCTGAGCATCGATTTGGACGTACCGTTAAATTTAACCAGCAACTTGGCCGGAACACTGGCGTCAGGAACATAAGCGCGTCCAATAGCGGTGCTAGGTTGGCCGTTGCTGTAATTAAAAATTTTTATTGGTGGAAGATCGTACGCAAGAAAAATTTACCAAAATCACAGGAAAAATACCTTTGGCGGCCGGTGTTATTGACCTTTACGTCACCCTCAGCGCGAAGGCTATAATTGGCAGTGACGCAGTCTAACCCGATTTCAAAGATGGTAAAATAGCGCTGCTGTTCGTACCATCTTCCCAGATACTGAACAGTAAAAAAAGGTTATGTAATGTGCATATTTCAGAATTGAGATAGAGTATTGTAGAGCCTAAATTTTAGTCATTCAGATTGCATAATGTAGCTAAGTTGTAAACATTAAATAGCTGAATTAAAATAAAACATAATTCTCATGGTAAGATTTACGCTGAAAACTTGGCTTACTTGAGAAAGGTCAAAGTCTTGCTTGACGGTAACTGGCGCGCATTTTCCGATACTGATGACCTGCGCATCAGTGGCGACTGCGCAGAGCACCAATAAGGCAACAACAATTTTTGCGAACATTTTCGGAAACGGTGTGATATTAGCAATTTTGAGCGAAGAATAACGAATTGTTAAGTTTGAGAGAATGTGTGTAGTTTACGAGTGTATTTATAGTCATTTCGCCCGCTGTATATGTAAACAGAGAGTACAAACAGAAAAGCCGATTCATCAGTCGTTATCAAAAGTAGATTGAGGAACTTTAGAGAACCCGTGCGGGAAAAACCGAATAAGAGAATAAGAGACAGACTTTACTCGCCACGTTTGACATTTTCGTCGAAGTCAGCGGCTCACGCAAAGGCACATCACCGCTTATCTACCGAATTTTGTATTTGTGACCAATTCACTCATTATCGCGGGTCACATAATTATACCGAGAACAACTTAGCAAGTTGTTATTTGCCAAAACTGTGACTACAAAGTCCTGATTACAAATTCACAAAGTAAGCATGTATCGTATACCGGTGTACGCTGTTTATTTTCATTCAAGTACCAGTACATATCCATCACACCGATGATGCCTTTCGATGTAGTAATTTCTTTTAGCGACTTTTGACAAGTTATTTTCAGATCACAACAAGGCGTTTAGAAGAAACGATATCTATTCGGGAGAGTTTTCTATCATTCCGCTGCTGTATACCGTATGCGACTACATCATTTATTTATTTATTAACGTACTGCGTACTTCTTCTATCGCTGTTGCAGCGACTTCTGCCGAAGAACTGCCAAACCCGGATCCACTAATTGAGGACTTAGGCGGCTCTTAGATTGCTGCTTTCTCTATATATCGTAAATTAAATTTCTAAATCCATTCTTCCTCTGATAAACAAAACATTTATAATGATAAAATGATAATATAAACAGTGCAAATCTGAACATTGTGAAATCAGGTGGTAGTGATACAGACGTAAAGTACACATTTGGCAGCGTACGTATTGTACATATCATTTCTTATCGCATTTGTCCTGTTCTCATCAACAACAACCATAACAATTAATGCATTATTTGCACTTTTACCGGCTTAACCCAAGCTGTCCGAGGGAGAAATGGTCCTTGATTCCTTGTTAATACATAATTATTTACAGCGCTTCCTAATCATTGCGCAGTAATAACTGCTTATTTGGACCCAGGACACGCTCTCGCAAAATGACCCATGTGATGATTAGAATTTAGAAAGCTGTACTTGAGGCCCGTTGATACATGCATTGCGATAAGATTGCTGAGACTAATTTGCAACATTCCAAGTTTTGTAACGAGAGTACGTGTCTTATAAGTACGGCGAAGGAAACATGCATAGTACAAATTAATGTTAATTAAGGACTCTTCTGACGCCGCCAACCGGCTCTTTTGCCTTCTGCGCCGAGCTTTAAGTACCAAGAACTATATAAGTAAAGAGTATTCCCGCCGTAATCAGTACCGGCTTTGTTTTGCTGTTTGCGAACATGCGTACATGCCATGAGATATACTAATGTAACACCTGAATATCAGCATCTGGTAGTATTCAACGTTGTGGTCTTATTCGAGAGGTGTTTTGCGGGATGATGCTAGACGACACGATCAGCAGATATCCTCCCAACTGGGCGTAAATCTTAATTTAAAGCGCAACCTTTAAGTTGCCTTGCTGTACCTTTCCGGTTCCTTTCGCTATTTAAATGATAGGGAAAAATTACAACCAGCAAGTTCATATCAGTTTGTGTCCAAAAATTGGGTATCAGAAGAAATATGAACAAATTTGAAAATTGGTAATTTTATACCGAATGAAATGTGATTACCGCTGAAAAATAAAATTTCTTTTCCTTCCGACAAACGTTGTTCAATTCGGAAAAATGTTGCAGTTACGTAAAAACTTTCTGCCTGAAGGCACCGCCCTTCTTGCCTTTATCCGCAGTTTACTATGATGAAGAACTCTCACACACATGCAGCCTTTATATCAACGAGCAAGATTTCAATTCACGGAATTATCTACTACAAAGATCTTTGGGCGTCCGTAATCTGCTGCGACAAATAAAACTTCCGGCGCCTTCACTGTTAGCGTAAACAAAGAGTCAGATACGTATAAAACGGTAGCTTTCCGCGAGTAGAAAGCGGATATCGTGTCAGTTCAAAAACTCAGCACTTCGAAGTGGATTTTGTTATACTTCAGGAATGGCAGCCCGTCCTAACCTACACGCGCTTTGTAAAACCCTCATGGAAATGTTGCACTTTACAGTATTGCTTCTGGCGCTGTTCCAGGTTCTGGTTTTTAATACAGGTATTCCCAATTTTGGTCTGAACTTTTATTCATTATTTTGTTTTGTCAATTTTCATAACAATATTGACACCACAAGTTGTATAATCCGGAATAAAATGTTGAGTAGGTTGAAATACAATGTAATTGTGATGTTAATGAACTGTAAATTTTGAAAACATAAAATCAAAAAGGTACCCGAAATGTTTTCCTCTTCTGCAGCATTCGTTAATGTGTCCTCTCTCGCCTTCACTGTGTCATATTATAGCAACCGGCAGATTGGAATCTTCCATGCAGTATCCAATCCACCAGCTGCTCCCACCTATTTCTTGGCTCCCATGGCCACAATTTTGTCAAATTTAACGGAAACCATATACGACCAAAACACGGACTCGTTTTATCTGGAGCTAACGTTAAAAATGTGGGATGAAGATTTTGTGCAGCAGATTAAAGAATATATTAACAAAAAACGGGAAATGGGAGAAGCGAAGTTCTTCCACTGCCGTTTCAGTGAATGCACGTGGAGTATTATATCGGTAGTCATCATGCTCGCACAGCCTGGGAACCGATTAACAATCTTCCACAAACCATACACTTCCGAGTCCGCTGCAGAACGAGGGACGCCTGCAATGGGGTAGAGGCCGCGCTACGCAACGCAGACAACATTAAGTTCGCGGTGCGCTTGCATTTTGTATACCGTCTGACTAGTTCTGCACGGAAACTCACCATAAATGTGGATAACAACCACTTAATGGATTCCTCAATTTTTAGTACAATTACCGAGCAGTTTTCGGATTATGTCTTCCTCCGCAAGCAGGACTACTCGACAATGCTGCATCAGGTGCTCAGTAACAGTCTCGATGCCGCTCTGGAATCCGATGAGTTCGTCGATAATGAACAGTTTTACGACCAGATAGCGCGACTGTTTCCGGCCTTTCGAAAGAACAGGACATCATCAGGAGACTTTAGCGAGGCCATGTGGCAAGCGACATACTGGCCCGAACACGGTCATCGTCCGGACGAAGAAGCCCGACATTATAGGAATGTGTTCAGCGATGGAAACAAATGGTTAGAGAAGGAACTACGACGTAATAATACATCCGATTTACCAGCCGGTGACCTTCCCCGATCGGTGGCCGATGCGCTAGTCCGGCTGCGATCGTCTAACAGCGTCGTGCAGTGGGATGGACATAAATTCGTAATAATGCCGATGAGAATGTACCGTCTGGATTTGGGCAGACTACGTGAACAAGCCACCTGACTGTCCGCGTCAACAAGATTACCGCCGATTATAGTCTGGCGGCTAGTTTTCATTCCGAGCCGCTGGTCAGCTCCCTACAGCACCAAATTAATCAACTGCGCGCTACGATGCTGCCACCCATTGGGTCAGTTCAGGCCGTGGCGGCGGACCTGCAGACTCAGCCGTGCTGGTTGCGCTGCGACGGGCAACCGTTTAACATCTCCATGTATTCGCAGCTTGCCGGTCTGTTACCCAGTGGAAGGACACCGAATCTGAAAGGCCGGTTCCTTGTGGGCATCGACGCGTCGACGGCGGTCGGGAGTAGAGGCGGGGAAAAGGAGCATTATCTGACCGCTGACGAAATGCCGGCTCATCAGCACGAGCTCTATAGGCACGCGGTGTTGTGGAGTGATAAGCCACATGTTCGTCACTGGATCAACTATTATACAGACAACGAACATCTTGGTTTCTTTTTTACAGCTTACGAGCACCGGGCATTTTCCTACGCAATGGGCGGTAACCAGTCTCACAACAATATGCCTCCATATCACGCTGTAATTTACCTTATACGCGCCTGTTGAGCGTCCATTCGCAGTTGCTTCTGCGTATTTTTCTGTGTTTCACAAGCGTATCGAAAAGTTTGTTTTACAAGTTAACGTACGCACTTGTTATCGTCCGCACGTTATCGTTAGTTAACGTACGCACTTGTTATCGTCAGCATCCTCGATAATATAAGGAGGAAAATTTTACTTGTACACGACGTTCGGTTTCCCTGTATTGCTGCCGTCACCGGCCTAGAGTGTGACGTTACGGCAGTACATACATATTGTTAAATCTGGCGCGGCACATGAGCGGCATGGCCACAACGTCACCTTCCCGTCGGGTGACGGCGTCAGTACAGGGAAACGCTTTGAGTAAATTGGTTTTCCCGCTTATGTGACTGTAGTAACCACTAATCACCACACCACAACACAATCAGTTTATTTTACATGTTGAAATGTTCAGACTGTTGTACAATACACCTTTATCTGTATATATGACCTCGCATGTTACAGGCGTACAGTGTGTAGTAAATATAGTCTATATTGTAAGTACTAAGTAGCTGGTACTCGTAATAACTTTTCTTGCGTGTTTTCACGGGTTTTTTGACAGTCATGCGTGTTCCATAGCTACTTCAGTCTCTGCAATGTTTTCGACGACAAATTTATATGTCAGCTACAAACAGTGTGCGCAATACTACTACCATGGCATGATGGCACCACATTTAAATAGGCTCAAAAATTAAAGTAAATTATTTTCTTTCACATTCAAACTTCTTTGCACTGTCAGCCATGATAAAAAAAATTTTATGGCTAGTCAAACGTGTCTGCGATACCATCAGCTATGAGATACTGGCAACAACAATTTAGTTTCATGGAATTCGCAATTGTTTAGCACATGGATGTTCAGGAGCTCTTTGATTTTTGCAGCCGGTCACCGACACTTCTTACTTTGTAAGGAAAGCTGTTCGAACAAGTTATTTGTTGTTATAAATTGGTAATGAAAGAGAAAACAATATTTAACATGCTAGCGTTTCGTACTCAGTAAAAGTGAGCGGGCGATTAAGAAAAATACCAGTACTGTAACTTTCTGGGTAAAGTGAGATGGCCGGCGTAATCGTTCGTGAGTTTTTCGACCGTTCTTCTCGTTGCTAACCAGGGCCCGGTGAGAAGCACTCGCTCCAGAAAAATTTACTCAGTTACTGAGGTAAACGTCATCGTAGTGATTATTCTTGATAAACCAACTTTATTTGTTTTCATGCAGCATTTTCTCTGCCGCTCTACAGCATGATTGGTAAATTCATAAGCATACAACGTCCCAAAACAGTGCTACATGGCAACAAAACACTGTTCAAGCTGATCGGAACTGCTGATTTTCCTCATATACTGAGTAATCGAACAGTAGAGTTTCCGTTAGGCTTGGCAGTTGAGCTGATTAACGGGCTTGAGTGGCTTCGGACTGATGTGTTGTTGTTGGAGGATCTGCTCCACGCGCTGCTCGACGCTGGGCGTGTAACCCGAACGGTCACGGCTCAAAAGCCATAAGTACTCTGTGAACGTCAAAGAAGTTAAAATCACATTCTATTCGTATCTGTCTGCCAAAACCGATGACATTGTAACGATTCGCTGAATTTTTACCGCTTTTGAAGGGTCCGAGATTGCGGCAAGAGTATACCTGCAAATTAACCGGTCAAATTCATAAACTGCGTAATTATGTCATCTTTATCAGTGTATTATCAAAGTTCTCCTAGGCACGATTGTTCATTATGTTAACAATAAGTGTGTAGTGTGTACTTACAACTGAGAATGCAGTGTAATCCGTATCGATCACCCAGTAATCTCCAGCCGGCTGATTTTCTGCACAATAAGTGTCAATACAGTTGCATAATTCTGGCAGAGAACAAGTTTTCGTACAAACAGTTTCTGAGCATCGATTTGGACGTACCGTTAAATTTAACCAGCAACTTGGCCGGAACACTGGCGTCGGGAACATACGCACGGCCAATAGCGGTGTTAGGTTGGCCGTTGCTGTAATTAAGAATGTTTATTGATGGAAAATCGCAAAAGGACAGGAAAAATACCTCTGGCGGCCGGTGTTGTTGACCTTTACGTCACCCTCAGCGCGAAGGCTGTAGTTGGCAGCGACGCAGTCCAACCCGATTTCAAAGATGGTGAAATAGCGCTGCTGTTCGTACCATCTTCCCAGATACTATAATAACAAGCGAAGATCATTATTCATTTCAGAATTAAAATAAATAACGTGTCTGGTGCTTAAATTTCAGTTGTTTAAGTTGCCTAATGTATGTAGCAAAGCTATAAAACATTAAATAGGTAAATTAAATATGAAATTATTGATTAAAAAATATAATGGTATGATTTACGGTGATAAAATTGGCTTACTTGGGAAAGGTCAAAGTCTTGCTTGACGGTAACGGGCGCGCATTTTCCGATACTGATGACCTGAGCATCAGTGGCGACAGCGCAGAACACCAATGCGGCAACAACAATCTTTGCGAACATTTTCGGAAAAGACGTGATAATAATAATTTTTTAGCAAAAAATAACGAATTGTTAAGTTTGTAAAAATGTGTGTAGTTTGAGTGTGTATTTATTGTCAGTTCACCGCCGGATATGTACAAACAGAAGACAAATAAAGAGTACAAACAGAAAAGGCCATTAATCAGTCGTTATCAAAAGTAGATTGAGGAATTTTCGAGACCCACGCGGGGAAAGCGGAATAAGAGTCAGACTTTGCTCGCCACGTTTGACATTTTCGCTGAAGACAGCGGCCGATACAAAGGCTTATCGCAGCTGCAAAGCAGTCAATCGAATGAAATTTGAGACCAATTCTTTATTATCTCGCGTCACATAATTATTCCGAGAACCACGCAGCCATGTTGTTATCTGCCAAAACTGTGACTACTAAGCACTGATTACAAATTCACAAAGGACGCATAAAATATGCAGTGTTTGAATTTCACCATTTATACAGCTGTTCCACTAAAGTGCGCGCAAAGTGGAACAAAATTGCGTTTCCATGTATCTGCTATACTTTCAGCAAGAATCTGGGTACTGATCAGCAAAATGAGTTGGTCAGCATTTGTTTTATTTCGTCAGCAAAATCGTTTCGTGGAAAAGTCGTACATGTGAATGCGTGCTAACGTTAGCTAGAAATGTCTACAGTTTCTAACTGATCGCAAAGAAATGCCTACATAAATTATGGTGCCTCGATTTTATTTTTAATATTAAGCAAAAAAGGCATAAGAAACAATAAAATAAAAACGTTAAGCCACAGGCGTGAAAAGCACTCTTTTCAAAGACACGTCAACATCACCAACATTTCGTACAACTGCACCGTCCTCAATCAAAGTCGGCGGCGTCTCGGCCGAATTAACAACTGTAGCAGGCGACCATTTGCACTTGAACAACGGAACAGGCTGACTAAAATGCCGAGCAATTTGCACTGCTCTCTACATTATAAACCGAACCTGCTTCTCATTCATACATATGTAGTAGCTTTTTATTTTGTCCGTTGTATAGAATTTATCTTTACATTGTCTACATACTTTGCAGTATGAATTATTATTAACTGAATTTATAGATAAAGAAAGTCAAATAAACCTTGCGGTCCAACAAGTGTTGAATAACACGGGCAAATCGGTGTACCAGATTTGTTGATTCACACACTGCAGTTGTACGAAATTATGGTCATGTCGAAGTATCTTCTTTTCTATCAGTGGGATAATAATATCGTGTTGTTAATTTGGTTGATAGTTGGTGCTCGGTTTAATTACAGAACTGCCCCGTGATAACAGCGGATCAGTTGGCTGAACTAGACAAACCGGCTGTTCTGACATAGTGTGCTGGGTGGAAGGTACTTTATTGGTCAAATCAATGCCTCAATACACCAATTTCAAGAAAAAAAAAACACGCTAAACTATAACAGAAAAATTTCGTTCAGCTTATCCAGTCCTTCCATCGTGCCCAGCACTGACGCCGCATTTCCCCGTTGAATTTCTATGGACAATCGCTGCCGCAGAAATTCGTGCGAGCGTGCTTCTCCGGTGTGCTGCTGCAGTCTTTTTCCCAGTTCTTTGATGATGGCGATCGCCGACGGTCCCCACGGGCCCAGTGTTTCGAAGGCGATCGGGACGAATAGGTAGCGGCCAACCAGATAGGAATATAGTCCTGATTTCCGTAACTCTGCTTGCATGGCGGCCGCTCCGGCTGTGGTGGAAGTGGCCTTGACATGTGAAAGCGCAACAGTGTCTACACAGGTCACGTCCCAAGCGAGGCATAATCCGCGTTTCCATGCAAAAGTCGTGCAGCCATCTGGGCGGCGTTCATTGGTGTGAGAGGTGCCCCGCGGCTCCAGTTTCGCGGGCACACCAGCGGATACAAAGGCTCTGCAGACAATGCTATTCAACGCGCCGTGACGTGGATGCCGCCCGGCGGAAAAGACACATGACAGCCCGTGGTGCCCGTAACCACCAACAGGTTTGTGGCACTTGACGCAGTCGTGGGGTTCACAAATTGTAGCACCGAGACGGAGGCCGATGCTGATCTTCAGTTCGTCATCGCCCAGTAGATTACCGATGTGAGCGGACGGTAAGGCGTTCAACCATATGCCGGCCTCTGGCCTGGACTGGGCAAGCAGGCGCGCTGTGTTGACTTCGTCTCCTTGAAACACCTCCAGCAGGGCCGCAAGAGACACGTTGCATAATGGCAAGTCCCAGGCCTTTTGGGACTTCCGAAATGCAGCTTCCGGGAGTACGGGTTGACGGGCTTTTAATTTCCATGACTCCGAGGCACCAGTGACGTCAGCAGCGGCGTCACTGGTGCCTCGGAGTCATTTGTGCTGGGTTATCAAATAAAAACACTGAACCACAGACCAAAATGACCAATGGGCGAGCGGAATCGATGTACACATTTTGCAAAAATTAATACACGTGACTTACATTAATTTTGCAGCATATCCGTACCTTGTACTTAAAATAGTGTTTACAGAAATGCGTTTAACACCGTTCGGCGTGATGTTATGTTACAGTCTGTCCTCGAACATTTCCCGGAATATTATCCGTTCGTCCAGAGTGTGTATGGAGCACCGTCTGTCTTGTCTTGCAGTGGCAGTGATGAGGACTTGTCATCCGCCACGGGGATCCAGCTGGGCGATCCTATGGGACCGTTGCTTTACTGCCTCGTTGCACTACTGTTTTGTATAGGCCTGTCCTCGAAACTGAGAGTGTTTTTCTTGGATGACGGTGCTTTAGGAGGAACAGTGGATGAAGTGGCTAATGATCTGACATCGATCATCGCCGCCAGCAGCGCCGCTGGACTGGAATTGAAGTGTGAAATGCTGCTGATCGGTGGTGCTACTGAAGAACGCGAGGTGGCCAAGAACAGGCTGCATTCAATTGCCCCTGGTGCGATTGTTTGCAGCCTGAAACGGTAACGTTTCTTGGGGCACCATTAACTGATGAGGCCATAACCCTCTTACTGCAACAGAAAATTGCTTCGTTAAAAATTTTTACAGACCGCTTGCAGTTACTTAACGCCCATCATGGATTTTACCTCCTGCGGAATTGCCTTTCCATCCCGAAGCTTATGTACACGTTGCGATGCAGCCCGTGTTGGAAAGTGCCGGAACTGCTTGATGAGTTCGACTTGCACGTCAAAGTTGCCCTTGAAGAAATCACCAACACCAAACTGGATGGCCCTGTATACACGCAGGCAACGCTTCCTGTTGCCAAAAGAGGTTTGGGTGTACGACGAGCGAAAGCATTGGCTCCTTCGGCCTTTTTGGCTTCCATGTTTGCAACTCGTCAGTTATCATCACAGATCTTCAACAGCAACAGCGAACAGTTGGTCAGCGATGCGTGCGAAAACTGGAAGCTGGAATCTGCGTGTGAAGAACTGCCGTTAGATCTGGCACGTGTTCACCAATGCGTTTGGGATAACGCGGTAATCCAGAAGGATGTTTACACGTTGTGGAATATTATTGGTGTAGATAAAAGAACCGAAGCTCGCCTGAGAGCAGTCAGCACGAAGTACGCCGGGGCCTGGCTTAACGCCCTTCCCGCGAAAGTATTCGGCAACCTCCTGGATGATCAGACTTTCCGCATTTCTGTTGGCCTATGGCTTGGCGCCAAGATCGTAGAGCAGCACTCATGTGCGAGATGTGGCAAAGAGGTTGCGGAAAACGGATACCATGGGCTAGCTTGCAAGAAGTGCATCGGGAGAAGGGAACGCCATAATGGTATCAACGATATCATACTGCGAGCGCTATGTAATGCTGGCATTGAAGCATATCCGGAGCCCATTGGCTTTTTGCGTGAAAACGGAAAGCGCCCGGATGGAGCCACGCGTTGGAAGTGGTACCGCGGACAGCCGTTAGTTTGGGACGTCACCTGCAGAGACACGATGGCGGATTCATACATCGACGCGACTTCAAAGTGTGCTGGCGCAGCCGCTGAACTGGCCTGCAGGGAAAAGATTGGAAAATACAAGTCGCTTATGGATCGCTGTAATTTTGTCCCCTTTGCATGCGAGACTTTTGGCACTTGGTGTGAGACCGGCATTATTACGTTAAAAGAGATTGGTAAAAAGTTGTTTTTAAGGACGGGCGAGAGCCGTTCTACTTGTTTTTTGTTTCAACCTTTAAGTTTAGAGATTATGCGTGGCAATGCGATGAGTGTTTTGTGCACTGTCCCTTCCCACGTTAATTGGGACAAATTCTTCCTTTGATCAGTTTTGTTGAGGGAAGCTCGCCTTATACATATTGAGAAATAAAATTTATAGTGTTTCGCATGATCTGATTGCACAGATTCGTTCGTTCGATTCGTTCGTTCGTTTTTGGCCCGGTAGGTCAAAAACTGATGCGATGGCATTCTATAACTGCGTGAATTACAATAATCGTTTTCGGTGTGTAAAGTGCCCACTTAATTTGTTGCTTTTCCTTAAGCAAGTATCGTATTTTTAAAAACTTAGCATTGTTTTTGAGTTGTGACTGACGTCTGACTCTGAATACGGTCGTGATCAGTAACAAAGGACAAAGTAGAGAATAACTGCACCGGTACTGTGTATTCGTAATTTAATTCGTTTGTGTTTTACCTAAATAAACAGTAAAAATTCCCATTACGTACTGAACAATGAAAGCTAGCTCCAGTTATGTACTGACCAGTGTTAAAAATCTGAACTGCTGCATTATTTATTACTGATTGGAACAACTTTTGGACATTATGGCTTAACAAAAAAAAGTTAACAATCGTTACGAGGATGTTTATATGCTTACTGGAACAGGAAAGAGATGTTGCTCTTGTTTTTCGATTCCAGCATTTGATTCTGACAACACGAAATGCAATGGGCGTTCTGGGCACTGTTTCTTCTTACAGGAAATGTCCCAGTACATTGTACCTAATTGGTATACATATTACATGCAGGAGAGCTTTCACTATTGCGCACTCCCAAAAATTTTTTGCCATCGTTTATGACATTCTGTAGCCAGACGATTTGTATGCATATTCTATAAGCACGAAAACCGTTTGTGCGCGCGGTGCGGGAATTATGGTTATAAGAAAATTTCCATTATTCTTTTACAATTGGACCGCATGCATCA